GTAGAGTGTATATATATATATATATATATATATATATATATATATATATATATATATATATATATATGTATACGGCGAAGTGAGAGTTACAGGTGAGGGATGGTGTTAGAAGAAATGAGGGGGGGCTTATGAGAGGATGGGTACAGGTGAGGGGAAATGAGTTTAGAGGAAAGTAATATGAACGTGTGGAAGATTATGTGGGAAAATCAGTTGAGGCTGATGGGAACAGGTGAGGAGTGATAGAGACATGCTGGGAGTGGAGAAGATAAAGCAGGATGGAGACAGGTGAGGATTGTGGGGACAGGTAAAGGGTGACAGGGCCCTGCTAGGGGATGGGGGTCAAGCGAATGGCAGAGACCAGTGAAGAGAATCTATGATCAGAAACAGGTCCATACGAGAGAGAGTCCTAGGGCCGCAGGAGTGGAGAAAGGAGCAGAGTAGACTGTGATGTCAGAGCAAGGGCGGTGATGTAAGAGCCGGGGCGGTGAGAAGGTGATGTCAGGGCTGGTGCTGATGCTGGCGGCGCAGTGCATTGTGGGCAGCTCCCCGCTCTGCCGCTGCCGCCGCCGTCGCCGTCGCCCGAGAAGGATCCGGGCCGGGCCGGGCCGGGATGGTCCCGGTCGGGAGGCCGCCGCCACCGCCGCCGGAGGGAGCGGGCCTCCCAGCACCGCACTGAGCCGCCCCCGCCCCCACCCCCTCTCCGCCCCGTCCCCGGGGGATGCGCCGCCTGGAGCCGCTGCCTCCGCCGCCGCCGCCGCCGCGGCGGGGCGGGGCCGGCCGGCCGGGCGGGGGTCGGGGAGGGGTCTCCTTCTGTGAACCCATCGGGCCTCTGGCCTGGCTCACCTCCCAGCGCAGCCTTCTCCAGTTCCCCCTCCCTGTGCCGTCTCCGTCTCCGCCCGAGGTGGGACGCTGGCCTACACAGCCTGGGCCGCATCCCGAGGCCTGGATCGGCGCCCTGCCCCCAGCACACCCACCCTCTCCAGCCTGTCCTCCAGGGGTTTTGCTCCTCGCTTCTCACCTCTGTCCCCGTCCCTATGGCTTCACTCTCCTGGCATCCCTGACAGTCGTTCCCTGCTCTCTCCATAACCTCTCTCCCTTGTCCTCCCACCAGCCTCCTTGCCTACTTCCTCATCCCTTCAACTGTGCCCAGAAGCCCCTTTCATGGTCTTGTCCCCTCTTCACCTGTCATGATTATCCCTCACCTGTCTCTGTCTTATGCAACCCCCTCCTCTGATCCTGTCACCCTTGTCCCTTGCATTCCCTGTGCCCCCTTCCACACCTCTCTTCACCTGTTCCCATTACCCCTCACTGATCTCCCTCACCTCTCCTTACCTGGGTTCCCAGATTCCCACACACACCTGGCTTACACCTTGCATAGGTGCACACCAACACTTATATGTACATGCCACGATGAGCTCACAACCACCTAGATATACACCCCCAACACACACACCTGCACGCACACACACACATCATCGGTCCCACACTCTCATACGTACACACTTGCTGACAGATATAAAACCTCCTCCACAAGCCCTCTCTCTCCACACACCCATCCCTCCACACACTAAAGGGTCCTGAGGGGGCGGTCATGGGGCAGTCAGGTTCCTTGTGTCTGTGTCATCCAACCCTAGCCTGGGCTGAGTGCAGTCCTCTGAGGCAGAGAGTGGGAAGGATGGTGGGCAGGGAGAGGCAGGGAACCCTCATTTATCCTCTTGCCTCCACTCCCCCTTTTCCCACCTCACCTGTTCCTCTATGCTTGCCCATCTATAGAATGGGGGCAGGACTCACATCTTCCTCATCAATCTATAGAATCCACCATCACAGGACTGGAAGGCCCACCAGAGGTCACCCTGTTTAACTCCTTAAGGCTCCCTCCCTACTGGTTCAATTGCTTCTTCAATCTTGTCCTCAACCTGTCTCTCCACCTTTATTTCAGAATTCCCCATCCCTCCCTCTCCCTTCATCCTGCCATTGCTCTCACTGCCCTCTGAATTCCTGATGCCCCATTTGCCACTTGGCAGAAGGAAGGCAGAGGCCTATTTAATATCCTCACAGTCCTGATACTCTGAAGTTATGTGGATCGGAGGAAACAGTCAGCTGAGTCATTTGGCAGAACAAGAGTGACAGTGTCCCTCTCCCTGAAGATCCCTCACGGCACACCATGACTTGTGGAAGGTTGTCTCCACGCCTTCGCTATCCCACACTGCCCCTGTACCTGGATGGTCAGACACAGGAGCCCTGGGGAATGAGTCCATCCCAAGTAAAGACAGGCTCATGGAGTTCCCACCCCATCCGCTGGTATCTTAGGCACTTTCCTCCTCTCCACCTCCCCCACCATACCCAGCCTGAGGAGCTTCCTTCTATCTGTGACTGTCCAGGGTCACTGGGAGGCCAGAGCCGTGTACTTATAAAAAGTGTAGGGGGAAGGGAGAGAGGAAAAGATCCATTTCTGTACCCGGGTGGCAGAGATCTCAAAGAGCCATCTCTTCTGGCCCCTGTCCACACACTGGCACATCACACACCAACAGACACAAAACCACACATAAGCACACGTGGACACAGATGTACAGACACAAAGACACAGACACATAGACAGACACACACAAAAAGACACACAAAGACATATACACACTCACACAGAGGGTACACACACAGACACACACATGCGCACACTGACATTTCCCTGGGTAACCCTGGCTGGCTTTGCCAGCCCTCACACTTGGGACACTCCCCCTGATATCCAACTTCTACCTATCCGAATGCAACAAGAGCTGTGTTTCTTCCTTAGCAGACACAGAAAAGTGTGGGCAGAGGCTCTCTCACCCACTGGCCATCCAGACCCACTGCCCCCTGGCACATCTGCCTTCTCTTAGGCCACTTCCACTTCCCCGCTGTCCTCACCTCCCCCCAGTTCAGCCTGCCTCTCTCCCTCTGAGTGGCCACAGGGCTGCCAGACCTCTAAAATCCATGTCTTGAATCCATCGCCTTATGTTCACCCCATCACTCACGTCCTTGCTTCTCACCCCCATGGCCGTGTCAGTGGTTTGGGCTCAGCTCTGAGTACGGTGGCAGCCTCCTCACTCAGCACCGTCCTCAAGGGGCTGTTGGGTAGCTCCTCATTTTCAGATAATCACATCTCCCATGGTTGGTTGGAGGTCTCTGTCACTCTGGTGTGTGTCTTCCCTGGGTCACCCTTTGGTTCAGCAAGTCTCCCCTTTCAATAAGCCTCAGATACACAGTTCCTTGGGAACGGTGTGGCGCGGGAAATGTGCGGGTGTGGGGGCCACAGATCGAATCCCCAGACTGGTCCTTCTTGGCTCAGGTCTCCCCTGCCTAAGCACTGATTCCCCTCGGTCAGCAATCTTCCCCACATTAGTTAGCATATTTCTCTTTGGGAAACCCTTTCCCCACAGCCTGTTCACACATCATTTTCCTCTCCTTTTTCTATCACATGTGTGTGCCCGTTGCTGGTTTTCACATCTCCAGCTTGTAGTTTGTATCTCCCTTCCTGTGAATGGCATTTCTGTCTTCTCCTCTGACCTCCACTTGATTTTTACACAATGCTTCCCCCATTGACCCCTGGAGCATCCACCCAGTGGGCCAGGGAAAGATGCCTGCCAGGAGAATGGAACTCCCCTCCTGCATATCTGCAAGTGGGTCCCGGGTCCTAGCCTGCCCCCCTCACAGTCCCTCCCCACTCCCCCAGGTAGATGGCCCCCTCAGGGCAGGCCCTGCGGACACCCCTCCCTCCGGCTGGCGGATGCAGTGCCTAGCGGCCGCTCTTAAGGACGAAACCAACATGAGTGGGGGAGGGGAGCAGGCCGACATCCTGCCGGCCAACTACGTGGTCAAGGATCGCTGGAAGGTGGTGAGTGAGTGACCCAGCAGGGCAGAGGGACGGGTGGGGGAGGATGGGAGGAGAGGATCTGGAGACCTGTTAAAACAGGTGCCCTTGGCGCCCCTACCCTAAGAGGGAGGTGCCCCTAAGCTCATTTGCATGTGGCTTGCAGGTCATTATTTTGCCTACACTTGTGGACAATCGCTTTCTCCCAGTGCCCTCTCTCCAACCCCGCCGTCTCTCACCCCTTTCCCCGCTAGGTCAAGTTGGTCGGGCCCAGCCTGCAACAACTCCTGGTTGGATGTCAGAGCAGGAGCTGCAGAGCTCATTGAGGGGAGGAGGGCGGGGGTGGGGGAGGGGGCCGTTTCTCTGCTGGACCTTGGAGAAGGGCAGTGAGTGAGCCCTTCCTCTTCCGCAGAGGACAGAAAAGCTTGGGTTCGGGGAAAGAGGCCCTGAAGGCGGCTCCCACCGCATCCGCACTCCATCTTCTCTATCCACCCTCCTCCCTTCACTGCTTCCTGCGGCAGGTGCAACATGCCGAGACTCCATCTCCCAGCGTGCCTTGTTCCTCCAGCCCAGGGCTTCGGGCTGCTCGGTCTGCTGGGAGTTGTAGTCCAAGCCTCTTCAGGGCTTTGCCTCTCGGATGGGAGGGCGACACATGAGGGTCGAGGCAAAGACAGTGTAGTGTATGTTGAGCGGAACCTATGAAAAATCAATCCCTGTCCCACCGCCCCCCTTTTCTTTCCGATGCTTGAGGGCACTCCGATGTCCTGTTTTTATGGGGGCAGGATGATGGGGGGCAGAATTTGGGGTAACTATGTGAGCTTGTGGGTCTGCATAGGGTGGGTGCTCGGCTCACCAGAGGTGCGGGGTTGAGAGGAGAGTGGGGCCTGGCTGCGGGCAGGTCTCCATGGCAACAACTACCCAGTGGGCAGGTCTCCTAGTGGCCAGGGAGCGGGGCAAAGGTGGCAACGTTGTCAGAGATGTCTCTGGGACTGGAGGAGGTGAGGGATGGAGATGGAGGAGCCCGAGAGCTGAGGGAAAGGGCTGTCTATGTCCCAGAGGGGGGCTTCCTGAGGGGGAGAGGAAGGGGACAGAAACTGGGAGAGGAGGAGCCAGGGCAGTAATCAAAGGCATGAGGGTCTGGCAAAGTGAGGAGTGTTCCTCCAAGACCCCACCCTCACCCGCTCCGGGTCCTGCTCAGGGCATAGTTTCTGGCAGATTGGAGGCAGGAGGACTTTTGCGTTGAAGAGGTGAGAAAAAGAGGGTATTCACGCACATAGTGAAATTGGGTTAGAAATTTCCTGTGCTTTTTGAGGGAGGGGGTGGGAGATGAGTGGGGAGAGAAGTGGCAGGGGTGGAGGGGAAAGGAGCAAGCCCTCAGTTTTTGCCAGGTGACCTAGCTTTCCCCTCCCTCCCTGGACCCTGGAGAAATAGAGAGGGTGGGGTGCCAGTTGCCTCCCCTCAAGCCAGTCTCCACGAGGGACAGACAGAGAGTGAGGCACAGCTCAGGAACCAAGAAAACTGCTCAGATGGGCTGTGCCAGGAGAAAATGAGGGTCCATGGCGTTTGGTGGAGTATTTAAAAATAATAGCATTTTTTTTCTTTTTGAGGGGTGCCCCTTAGAATCAGAATGTCAAACTATAATAACAATAAAAACTTAGCATTTATTTTGAGCACTTACTGTGGCCGGGCGCTATGCAAAATGCCTTACATGCATTATCTCAACAGCCTATGGAGTAGATACTGTTATTATCCCCGTTTCACAGTTGTGGAAACTGAGGCACAGGGATTAGCTAACTTGCCAAGTTCCCATGACTAGTCAGTGGAACCAGGTTTGTCTGACTGCTGGGGCAACAGTCGCTGAACTATGTTGCTTCCTAAGAATTAGTCCATCTGAGAATCAGGATCAGAGAGTGGAGGGAGAGTTGTGACATATATTCTAGTCCAACTCTCATTTTACAGAAAGGGAAAAGCAGAAACTCACCCCAGTTCACCCAGAGCTGGGCCAAGAAACCTGGTTTCCTTTTTCCTAAGTGAATGCTAGTCCTATTGTGTCGTGTTTCTTGAGGTCCTTCGGTAGGGGAGCGGGTCCAGAAAAAATTTAGGAGGGGAGGAATAGGGTCTGGTGCAGGGAGGTTGAGAGAACATTCCTGTCACTGGGCTGTGGGCAAAGGTGTTTTGGGACTTTCATGGGCCTTGGGCACTTTTGCCCTTACCGGCCCCTTCCAACATAATAAAGTACTAAAGATTGCAATAGTATGACTGCATTGCTATAATGAGGAATAAATTAATACTATATAATAAATTTCTTTTGATCTAAAAGTCCATTTTCCCCTTCTGATTGTAAAAGAAATGAAAACATTTTCATGGCCTCCTAAAAGTATTATTAGGGTGCCTGCTGTACTCCCCTGCCCCCAGAGGTCCTGTAATGGGTGGGGGGGGGGTGAGGAAGGAACTAAGGAAAGAGAAATAGACTCTGTTTGGAAGTGGAGGTGGTAGAGAAATAGCCTTTGGCATCCTGGGAAATTGGACAGTAGGTGTCAGAAATGTCTTGGGTGCCCCGAGCCCTCCTTACATCTCCAGCAAGGATTTTGGAGACTGGCAGATCTGGCCTTGAATCTCAGCACTCACACTGTTAATCACAGTATAGTCAATGGTTCCTACATTATTTCAGTTAAGACTGTGGGTTCTGCATCAGATTCCCTGGGTTTAAGTGAAACCTGGCTTTGCAACTCACTAGCAGTGTGAACTGGGGCAAGGTACTTAACTCTCTGTGCCTAAGTTTTCCTTTTGTGCAAAATGACAACTTCTGTGACCTTCCTTACCTGTGTTGCTGGGAGCCTCTGGGGATGAGCTGAGATGATGTCTGTGAGTCTGGAGCACAGAAAACGAGGTGTTTCCTCCACGTTCCCACAAAGAAAACCGTAAAGGAATCTAGAAGATACTAGAATCTCCCCTGAGTTTCACGTTCCCAGAGGAAGACATGCCATTGCTTCCCTTGAGTCTGCATCTGTCTCCTCCTGTTCTGAAATTCTGCTAGAAGTCTGACCTTAACTTTCATCTCAAGTAGAGAGGGACCCTGGTTTCTCACTGTTCTTCCTCCCTCCTCTTTCCTGGGCACAAGAACCCAACCAGCCTTCCACTTGTCTTCTAAATCTTTCCTTCATCCTCTCTTTTTCTAGAGTGTTTACAACTGCAACCTGCTGGGAACTCGCAGTCCTCAGCTCTGCCCTGCCCCCTATCTCTCACCATTCCCATGTTTCAACCACCATTAAACATTTATTGGGTATCCACGTGCTGAATAAATGCCAAGGGGCGGGCTCAGATGCAGGAGGCTTAGAGTCAGGAGTTTACAGATGCTCAGAGCAGCCTCCATCCAATCATGAGCAAGCCCAGCTGCGGCTGGCACGTTACTAGCCAACAGGACACAAGTGAGGACTCTGGAAGAGGGCAGGCCACCCATGGGTGGGGGGCTCCCTGGGGAGGTGAGAATTGAACTGTATAGCTTTCTTTTTTTTCTATTGAGGCATTTTCTTTGCACAGATGTGTTACATCCCTAGAAAAAGAATCCCAGGATTTTCCCTCCTGTGTTTTTTCATCTTGCTTCCTCACGGTTCATGATGCCAGCTGAGGTTATCAGTACAATGAAACCACACTGACGGGACGGAAGCAGATTATTCTGCCATTTTTCTAGATCTTTGAGCTGCACGTCAAATCCGGGGCTGATCACTCTACACTTGTTTAGCCTGCCTGTGAGATTCACAATAATTTTCCCAGCTCTGTGAGCATCAGTGATCTCAAACTCGCCAACGTAACCATGCTTCAGCATCCCAGTTAGAAACTGGATGGTGACTTTGGAGCAGCAAAGCCTAATAAGAACCTGGCATTTGCCTCACTTTTGTTGATACTCTTGAGAGCATCGGCCAGGACCTTTGTGCGCACCTTTATGACGACACGGAAAGATGGCGGAAAGAGGTGTACATCTTTCTTAAACCAAATGAGTCCCAACTTAGAACTCAGCCCCTTCTCTCCTGTCCCCCCATCATTGCCAGCAGCACCCTCACTCTCCAAGACCCCTGGGCCCCTGACTTAATCCCGCCCCGTAACTCAGCTTTGCTCATCTCACCTGGCCAATTCATCCTCTATCACAGTTCTCCCCTCTGCCTTTTCTCACTGCCTGCCCAGGGATGCTGGGGGAGGGGGGGCCCAGAACATCAGAGCTCCACTGCAGTGCTCCCTGGGAACACAGAGATTCTCTTCAAACCTCCATCCCCACCATGTTCCCCTGGACAGGAGGCTCACCCTGGTTTTGGGCATCCGACCTGGGGTCTCGGGAGTGTTGTGAGCTTCAGCAGGGGGCCTGGGCAGGGAACAACCTTTGCTGAGTCCCCTCCCCTGAACACTCCCCTCTAAATGCTCTCTGCCCCTGGTGTCATCTTTCAGGAGACTGCCAAGCCCAGGAAGGGCTGGCCTCCCTGGGGGAGGGACCCACCTGAAGCTGCAAGGTTCTGGAAGTTAGTTTTTTTGCTTCTGGATGGAGGCTGCTCAGTCTAGGTGGGGGATGGGGGGAGCGTGATATTTATTGTCCTTAAAAGGCTCACGATGGCCCATTATCTCTTCAGAATCCTGCATCGGCTTGTCTCCTTGTCTCTGTGGAGTCTCAGGTCTCATAACTTTCCCATTGCCCACTCTGACATCTAGCCCCATGCGTGTGTGTGTGTGTGTGTGTGTGTGTGTGTGTGTGTGTGTCTGGGTCTGTGAATAGTTGTACACCCATGGACTGAGCTCTCTGTCTCCAGCACTAGGAGAGGAGGTGGGAGCACGGGTGGGTGGGGTGAAGAAGGGAGCCACGGGGTCCTCCCCTTCAAGGACAGCCCCTGCCCCCATCAGTGAAGGATGTGACCCAGTAATGGGTGGGGTGAGGAGCTGTTCAGCCTGATCCCTGTGTCCCCTATTCCCCTTTCACCCATCTCTGTAGCTCAAAAAGATCGGGGGCGGGGGCTTTGGTGAGATCTATGAGGCGATGGACCTGCTGACCAGGGAGAACGTGGCCCTGAAGGTGGAGTCGGCCCAGCAGCCCAAGCAGGTCCTCAAGATGGAGGTGGCTGTGCTCAAAAAGCTGCAAGGTGCGGGTCCAGGGCAAGATGGGAGGGAAGAGGTGATGGAGCCAGGGGCTGAGAGGTGATGGGCGAGGGGATATGAGAACAGAGTCCAAGAGTGATGATGGGCCTAAGGGCAGGGGGAGGTGGGAGAAGTGGCCATGGGGCCAGGGCTGGGGGAACCAGGAATCAAGAGTGCACGGGAAGCCCAGCTTAGGGCTGGGAGTGAGGAAGAAGGAGTAGGAGTTGGGAGACCCCTGTCTGTATCCCTCAGGGAAAGACCACGTGTGCAGGTTCATTGGCTGTGGCCGCAACGAGAAGTTTAACTATGTAGTGATGCAGCTCCAGGTGAGTCCCCGCGGCCCGTCCTCCCTTCACTCTCCCCCAGGAGCTCTGGTGGTGACTCCTGGGGTGGGATGGAGACTGTGGCCCTGGGAGGAATGGGGAGTGGGCGCAAGCCTTTGGGGCGAGGCTGGGAAGAGTGTCATGGCGGTGGTGGTCGGATGGCAGCTGAGCTGGGCCTGTCCCCACCCCCCACCCCCCCCAGGGCCGGAACCTGGCTGACCTGCGACGCAGCCAGCCTCGAGGCACCTTCACGCTGAGCACCACTCTGCGGCTGGGCAAGCAGATCCTGGAGTCCATCGAGGCCATCCACTCCGTGGGCTTCCTGCACCGCGACATTAAGCCGGTGAGGGCTGCCCCCTCCTCTGAAGCACACACCCCGCCTCCTCTCCCTCCCTGGGCCTCCTGGTTTCTTCTCCAGATCAGTGGTTGGGAGGGGACAGCCTCTTCTACCTGTCCCCTCCCCCTGCTCTCCAGCCCAAGTTCCAACTCTTCCTGTCCCCTGCCTCTCAGGAGCACCCCTGCCTGCCCCGTGGGCGTGCCGGTGTCCTCCCCTCTTTTCTCTTCTCTTCCTTTTTCTCACCCCTGACCTGAATAGTCCTTGAACCTGGAAAGGTGAAGGGGTTGGGGAAGGATGGAAGGATTGAAGAAAGAAGGGCGACGAGGGGCTGGGGCTTGGTAGGAGATTCCAAGTAGCTGATTTTGTAACATCTTGGATCTTGGTGCTTGGACCCAATTTAAAGTGGTGAAAACTGAGGCCCAGAAAGGTTGGTTGAATGGCCCGAGGTCACACAGCAAGAACAACGCTGGTCTCCTGATGCCTCAGAGCAGGACAGTTACACTAAGCCACACAGCCCTGCTGGGAGTTCCAAGGGTTCGGAGCCAGGTGACCTTGGCTGGGTCACCTCTTGCTGTGTGATCTTGGAGAAGCCTGCAGTTTGCCCTCAGTTTCCTCCTATCTAAAATGAGCATAATCACACCTGCCCCTCAGATAAGGTCCGTGACCTGCTGTACATATTGATGTTTTACTCTCATGTGAGTGTATGGGGGGTGGAAGGCCCCTCACCAGAGCTGTTTCTTGGTGTCCCCTGAGGTGGGCCTGGAGCCCCAAGATTCACAGCTACTGTCTTCCCCCAGTCAAACTTTGCCATGGGCAGGCTGCCCTCCACCTACAGAAAGTGCTACATGTTGGATTTTGGGCTGGCCCGGCAGTACACCAACACCACGGGGGACGTTCGGCCCGTGAGTACCGCCGCTCACGGGAATCCTGGCATCCTCGCCCCACCCCCGGATCTGGGGACCCTTCACCAGTTTTCCTTGCAGCTGCCTAGACAGGCCTGGCCTTGTGTTCAGTGTCACCCAGTGCTGGGTCCACACTTGGCCTGTCCCCCTCTCCCCCTTGGCCTGGGTGGATGCCACTTCCATGCCCTGTGGTCTGCCTGGTCAAGGGCAGACGCAGGGGCAGTGAGCAGGGTCAGGAGACGGGTTTAGGACTGGGCTTGGTGTGTCAGGTTGCTCCTGACCAGGCCGACTCGGGAGTGCGGTGGGCAGGGCGGGGGGCGGTGATGGGGGAGGAGGCAGTCAGGGCTAAAGTAGGCAGAATTAGGCTTGGTAAGCAGGGTTGAGATGTGGCCGAGGTCAGGGGCAGTGGGTGACGTTCCTGGTGGTGTCCTCCCCTCTGCAGCCTCGGAATGTGGCCGGGTTTCGCGGGACTGTTCGCTATGCCTCGGTCAATGCTCACAAGAACCGGGTGAGTGGCAGGGCGGGACAGAGGGATGTGGGGACAGTAAGGGCAGAGGTCAGGGGCAGAATATGCTGCTGAGGGAGAGAGCGGGGCGGGCAGCTGTGATGGGAGGTGGGGAGAGGAGTGCAGGGCAGGGGCTGGAAGACGCCCCTCCAGAGACCCTGATTGGAAGAGCGCTCGGCGGGCGTCTCCCCTTGATGTCACCTTCGTCCTTGTATTGGGGATTCCCCTCCTCTCTGTCCCCACCACAAACCTCTGTGGATGAGAAAGCACACACGGAACTTTTGACTGTGGGATTCTGTGTGTTGGCCGGTCAGGAATGGAGCCGTGGCTTCAGGGAGACCCCAGCTCTGCCCATAGGCACCCTGACTGGTGTCCCTCAGTGAGGGGTCAGCCTCCACTCCCAGGGAGGGACCTGAGGGCCAGGGGTGACCCCGTTCCCTGCTGCCACCCGCAGGAGATGGGCCGCCACGACGACCTGTGGTCTCTCTTCTACATGCTGGTGGAGTTCGCAGTGGGTCAGCTGCCTTGGAGGAAGATCAAGGACAAGGTGAGGGCGGCGCAGCTGGCTCTGAGGGCAGGGAGGGGGTGCGGGGCAGCTGGGGCCGCATCTCCCAGCGCCCTCTTGTCTCCAGGAGCAGGTAGGGATGATCAAGGAGAAGTATGAGCACCGGATGCTGCTAAAGCACATGCCCTCCGAGTTCCACCTTTTCCTGGACCACATCGCCAGCCTCGACTATTTCACCAAGCCCGATTACCAGGTGGGAGCCTGCCTGCCTGCTCCTGCGCCCCCGACGCCTCTCTATGGGTGACTGTCTCCAGCGCCACCCATCCTGCTGAGGCCCTGCGCCCCCTGCCGGCTTGGCCCTGAGCACCTCCCCCGGTCTTCCAACCACACGAAAGAAACTGTTCTGTGCTCTTGTAAACAGTAGTCACAGCTAAGATTTATCAAGAGCTCACCCTGTTCTCAGTACTTTTCCTGCATTAACTCATTTAAGCTTTGAAACAAGTCTTTGGTGATATTGCGTGTTCATGTTCTTATTCCAGCACTTAACAATTAATGAAGCCAAGTGCTTTCAAGGACTTTACACTGAAACTCTGCAGGAGGCCAAGTGGGATGATTATCCCCATTTCATAGATGAGGAAACTGAGGCCTGACAGCCTGGTTAGGAGCAGGGCAGGGCTCAGGCACATCTGACTCCCAAGTCCAGTGCTCTTTCCAAGGCGCCATCACTACACCCCTATGGGACCCACCGATCAGCGAATGTTCTGCCCAGGATCCACTATGTGCCAGGCACGGCTACACACCGCAGGGAGCACAGATAGTGTCAGGCACACAGTGGGCTCGCAGTGAAGGGGGTCCTGCTAGCAGAGAGAACCCTCTGGAGAGAGCTAAGTCAGAAGTGGAAAGGTCTATGGGGCCGCCACCTCCTGAACCCAGGGACCCAGTTGTTGGCAGAGATCCCTTACTCGGGCAGTGGGAGGCCAAGCCCCCCAGGCCCAGCTCAGCCTCATGGGTTCCGCCAGACCACACAGCTTCGAGCACACCCTGTGCTGGGCCCTGGGCTGGCTGCTAGAAATGTAGAGGTGGCAGATAGGCCTGTGAACCATTCAAACCGCTGCTCTGTGCCCAATCGTGTGGGCGGGGTATTCAGGGAAGGCTTCAGAGTGGAGAAGACAGTGGGAAAGGCACTGCAGGCAGAGGAAGCAGCCTGTGCAGAGGCATGACCCCAGGTGGTGGGTTTGGGAAACTACTGCTGCTGCTTCTGCTGAGATGGTGGAGATGGCAGAGGAGGCTGGGGCTGGTAATCAGGGGACAGATCTCCAAGGGCTTGTGTCCAGCCAGTGGAGCTTAAGTCAAGATGATGATTTGCATGCTGATTTGCATACTTTGTGCATGTTTTCATTTAAAATCAATGTGCCCTTCTTTCAATGCCCCCTTGTGGCCCATCCCTGTCCTGGAAGGCCCCTCTCTTCCCCCTGCAATCCCAGCAACTGCCCCCTCCTCCTGGCTAGCCCCTGGGTCACCTCTCTGTCCTCCCACCACCCCCATCCCTGCAGTTGATCATGTCAGTGTTTGAGAACAGCATGAAGGAGCGGGGCATCGCGGAGAACGAGGCCTTTGACTGGGAGAAGGCGGGCAATGATGCCCTCCTGTCCACGAGCACCTCCACCCCGCCCCAGCAGAACACCCGGCAGACGGCAGCCATGTTTGGGTGAGTCTTGGGAGGGGCGACGGGGGGCAGACGACCCCCCCCCCGAGATGTCACCTGAGAAGCCAGCCCTCTCCTCCTCTCCCTACCTGGACACACCTGGCTGTCTCTCCTGTTCTTGGTGCTCAGAAGCGGGGTTCTTGAATCCCAGGAAGCTCTGCCACATCTCTACCTTCAATCTGGAGCTGGAGGGGGCATTCTTATTTGGAGTTCTTGACCTACTGGGGAGCAGGGAGCCCTGAGTGAGATTCCCCCAGCGCCACAGTCTGTCTGTTTCTTGGTGGTCACATGCATCCATTCAGGGAACAGGTCTTGAGCCCTGGCACCAGGCCCTGTGGGGGCTCAGAGAAGAGATGTGCAGCCCCTGCCCTCCAAGCACTCTTAGTTGAGTCTGGGATGTTTGTAATTGATGGGTCAGCGGTTTCAGATCTAACTGGAAAGCACAAAGATAGAGTGGCCCAGGGAGGGGCCAGAGTGAGAAGGGCTCCCCACCCAGCCCTGGGGGTGAGCCAGGGGACACACTGCGGAGACTCCACAGGACTTGCCAGCACATGAGGTGCCGGGTCTGTGAAGATATTGGTCCAGGAACTCCAAAGCGATTCTTTCTTTAGACCCATTTCCTAGTCTCAAGGAAGCCAGCCAGCGAAATGTAGTGGCCAGAGAGCATCGAGATCTCCTAAATAAACAGAGCCAGGCGGTGCCGTAATTGCCCTTCAGCCCTCTGACCACCTGAGCCACCTGAGGGTGGTCTGGTCCCAGAGGGTTTGCAAGCCAGGGATGGAGATGGGCCTATGAATGCCCCGACCCTGGCAGACCTTGCCTGTGCCCACTCTCATGGGTGGCAGGTGGTCTCCAGGGCCTGTGTTAGAGGAGAGGGCACCCCTGTCAGCCTTGCCCACGGCCCCCTCCTGGCCTCCACAGGGTGGTCAACGTGACGCCGGTGCCCGGCGACCTGCTCCGGGAAAACACTGAGGATGTGCTGCAGGGTGAACACCTGAGTGACCAGGAGAACGCACCACCGATCCTGCCGGGGCGGCCCCCCGAGGGGCCGGGCTCCAGCCCCCACCTTGCCCCCCACCCCGGGGGTCCTGAGGCTGAAGTCTGGGAGGAGACAGATGTCAACCGGAACAAACTCCGGATCAACATTGGCAAAGTAACTGCAGCTGCGGAGGGGGACACGGGTGGCCTTCCCCCTCCCACCTTGCTCCCCACCCGTGGGCCCCTCTCCCCAGCCGCTTGCCTGCTCGCCCTGCCTCCCTGGCCCGGCCCCATCCCAGGATCACCGGCATCCCAGTGCTCGGACCTCCCTCTCTCTCCTTCACCCCAGAAAACCACCTGCCCACAGCTGCCCTGTCAGCCCCACTCATGGAGCTCCCCTGTCCTGCAGACCCCCTGTGTGGTGGAGGAGGAGCAGAGCCGAGTTGCGGGGCTCCCCAGCTCCCCGGTGCGTGCCCCCCCAGACTCACCGACAACCCCAGTCCGTTCTCTGCACTACCGGAGGGTCAACAGCCCTGAGTCGGAGAGGCTGTCCACGGCGGATGGGCGGGTGGAACTGCATGAGAGGAGGTGGGTCTGGAGCCAGGGGGATGGTCAGGGGCCCCTGGTCCCCTCCACCTTCACACGGCTGGTCTGGAGGAAAGTTCAGATTCCAGGCAGAGGTGGGGGGACCCTGGAAGCGTTAAGAGGGTTCTACTTGGGCCTGGGGTCAGACTCAGTTAGAGTCAGTGACCAGCCTGGAGAGGGGGTGGGGGATGCAGAGGGCCCGGCTCAGACCACGGAGGGGCGTGGGGCTGGAGGAAGGTGTAGGAGGAGGTGAGAGCTGAGATGGTAGGTGGGCATGCTTCCAGAACCTCTTTCC